AAGAAATATAACCTTATCAGTTTTAAGACTTAAGTTGTTAATCATTTAGCCTGCATTTCTTGACTATCAACAATAAAAAAATTAATAAAACTTTTACCTTTTACTTTCCCACCCAGAATGATAGGCATAAGCTTTAAATAAAGCTTGAGATCCCTCAGTACAGAAACTCTGAAAGGAGATACATTTAAATTTGTACTACAATCAAGGAAGAACTTTACGTGTTGGCAAGTTATAGTAAACCACATTATTTAAGTACCATGTATTATTTTTAAACATATAGTATGACTCTTGCTTGCTTTTCTACCTTCTATGCACGATGAACTTTTTCTCCTTTGTAATGCCTGTCTGCCATGGAGTCAACCAATTATGGACTGAAACCTCTGTAAACTATAAACACTTCTTGCATTACTAAGTATTCCAATGACCACGGACAAGACTGCTACAATGAAAACAGAAGTGTTGTAACAGTTGCATGAAGAATGGATCACAGGACTATGAACCATCCTGCCAGGGCCTTTAGGTTATAAAAATCAGAGCATGGATAAAGAATATTAATCATCAGCTACCTTTATGCAAACAAAAACTCCTGGAATATCTTTAACGCTTCAGAGATAAGCAGCAGAAAACTCAAAAGAAAGCATAAAGGATGCAACTGAGCTGTTTCTATGTGACTCGTCTTGAAATGCTGTATTGTGGCACAATAAAAACATCCTTGCAGGTTGTAGAGATAGAAAATTTGGTTAACCTGTCTTTAATACAGAAACTAATTTTCAGTAATACCCAAAAATTTAATTAATTAAAATAAAATAAAAATGTACAGTATGCCTTTCAGCTGGGCACAGTGGCATAAGCCTGCAGGAGGATCTCAAATTTGGGACCCATCTAAGCAAGTTATAGAGGCCCTGTCTCAAAATAAAATATAAAAAGGACTGAGGATGTAGCTCAGTAGTACAGCACCTCCTGATTCAATCCCCAATTTCTGCAAAATAAATAAATGGCCTTTCTTTATATCTTAATCACTTTCAATAGGTAGGAAAAAATAAGCTGTTTTGACACTATTTTTCAAGAAGAATATGTTGCTTGGGCCCCTTTTAATCTCTGACAAAATCTTATGTAAAACTCTAAATGTAGGTAACATTAGAAGTTAGTATTACAATGTTAATTTCTGTAGCTTGCTCCTCAAACATATATATACTCCACAAGCATTATGCAATCCATAAGTTATTTTTTTTAATCCTGGAAATTTGAATTTGGAAGGGTCCCTAGAGATCTATTATATATCCAAATCTGATGATTAAAAACTTGTACACTATACCTTAAAGTGAAATGGTTAACTATTCTTTGCTTCAGTATATTTAGTGTAAGAAAACACTATATTTCAAAGCCAACTCTTTGATTGTTAGGATAATATGTGAATTCTTCCTTACAATGAGTCAAAAAATCTGCCTTTGATTGGCCTGGTTTGACCCTCTTCTGAGATGATATCTCTTCAAATATTTACATACCATTGTTACTGAAATACTCCTCTCTGTTAAACCAAACAACTTCAATCCTATCAAAGCAGCACATAAAATGTTGACTCTCTTGTTTTCTTTGTCATCTTTGTCTAATAATCTTTGGTTTTTCACTGCCACCCTTAAAGCATGTCAGCCAGAGCAAAAAACAATACTAATAAAACTGACACTCCAGGCGTGGGGTTACATCTCTGGGGAGACTGAAGCAAAAGTGCTTCAAAGGCAGTCCTAGACCAGCCTGCAGTTCAGTGAGACTGTGTCTCTCACACTCACACACACACTCACACACACACACACACACACACACACACCTTAACAGCACAACGGTACCTTGCCCCTCCTTCAGCCTAAGACCACTTGAGTAGACTGTAACACAACCAAGCATCTAGATGTAGTGTAACTGAACAGAACTTTTATTTAGCTTTAATTATTAAATGTACACATGGAGCCGAGTGTGGTGGCGCACGCCTGTAATCCCAGCACTCTGGAGGCTGAGGCAGGAGGATCACTGTGAGTTCGAGACCAGCCTGGGCTACCTTTGGCCTGCCTCGCAAGCACAAGGGCCCGAGTTCAATCCCTGGTACAAAAAAAAAAAAAAAAAAAAAAAAAAAAAAATGTACACATGGAGAAAATGTATGTTTTTGTTCCACTGAAGTTACCCATGGGCCCAAGGTTAAGAATCACCAATAAAAGGAATACTCCGTGGTCCCTGACCGAATAATAAATTAAATGTAAATAAATACACATTGATATTAAAAATCAAAACAATATAAATTAAATCTTATTCAATGCACTTTATGTTATTTACTAGTTTGTATCAATAAGACCGACTCAAAATAAGTTAAAGTAGGAGATGCATACCAGATTGGGGTTTTTTGTTTTGTTTTTGTTTTGAGATGGGAATCTCACTTTATAGTTCAGGCTGGTCCTGAACTCACTATATAAGCCAAGGCTGGCCTCAGACTTGCAGTGATCCGTCCACCTCAGCCTCCTGGAGTGCTGGGATTACAGGCATGTGCCACCATACCCAGCATAATATTAAAGTTAAATAAATTATGAACTTATCTTTTAAAAAAACAATAAAACCATAATTTGTTTCCTTTTCCAATCTGCAGATTCGTTTCCAATCTGCAGATTCGTTTTCATCCTTTTCATTTCAATATCAGCATAATCATATTTCCACCTTTTTCAAAGGTTTAATTAAAAGCCTTTAATTTAGAGAGCAGGAGGTGCAGTTTAGTGATAGAGCACTTGCTTCATAGGCACAAGTCTCTGGGTTCAAATCTCAAGCACCACAAAAAAAAAAAAAAAAAAGGCTTAGTTTAAGAAGAATACACACAGAGGGAAAAAAAAATGAAGAGAAAGTATTTTCAAACTGTTTAGCCCATTGCAATTTTTACATGGGCATATATTTTTTTTCCAGTACTGCAGATAGAATCCCACTCATCCTAGGCAAGAGCTCTACCAGTGAGCTACATCCACAAACAAATATTGTTTTTATAATAAATAAATAAATAAAAAAGAAATTATCTAGAATTATCTCAGCAAAAAGTTTAAAGTTGCACAAATGTAACAAAAGAGGATAAACTGAGCTCTCTACATTCCTATCAATCACAGATCTAGTATAGAGCTAAATATTTCCATTATCCACATCCGTGATGTTAATTATTCCTTATTGAATTTTCTGACAGGAAAAAAAAAAACACACTTAGAAATTTCAGCTAAAAGGGCGAGGGATTTAGCTCAGTGGTTCCACCGCCTTTTTCGCAAGTGCAAGGTCCTGAGTACGATCCCCAGTTCCAAAAAAAAACAAGAAATTTTAGCTAAGAAGGGTGATGCAGTACATTAGTGATTATAACACCACTGGGAAAATATCTAGTCTTGGCTTACCACATATTTGGCCCAAAAAGGAAAACACTTTAAGAACCTTATAGATTACAAATTTCTGCCACAGCCAAGTGTCTACTGTGATAACCTACTAATGGAAAAGTACTTAGTCACAATTCATGTATTGAACATTGGACATTGTAAATAGCAGGCACATGCATCATGTTAAGGGAGTTATTTATAACACACTGAACTTATGAGCAGTTCATGAGAATCTAAATCACACTTCCTATTATTGCCTCAGCATAAATGTCTACTTCCAAATGTCCTTCCATAAAGTGACTGGTGGCAATAACTGTCAAAATTTCAACACCTAAACACCCTTTATTATCTTGCATACTAAACACTAAAGACAAAATTTCCATATTTCATGCTATTTTTAAAAAGTTAAATGAATATATTAAGTATTAATCATGTGCCAAACACTCCATTTCGCTCATTGACTTTTATATTCCTACCACAGATCTAAGCATATAACGGACACTTAATTAGCATTTGCGGCAAAAAAAAAAAGAATGAACACTAAGATCTTTGAGAGGATATAAAAAATGTCCTAACCCTCCATGAGATAACAAATGAAGGTGAGAAATAAGGCAAACACATGAAAAAGTAAAAATCACAGGACAATTAAAAATATCACTAGACAGTATATAATTATTTTCTAAGATAATGAGTGCATAGACAGCTATAAATTGTAACCAGAGTGAGATCATTATGGACTTCAGTCCTTCTGGTCTGCCGACCAGAGGGACAGCGACACTGTTTTTTAGTTTAAAAAAGAAAGAAGTGACACAGCGCTCATCCCATCCTAAAATTATCAGAGAAAAAATATAATAACTAAAGAAAATGATATAAAGAAACTTCCATATAAGGTTTTTAAGACCTATGGTATACCTGAAAAAGGTGAAACACTCCACATGCACAATCATTTGCTGGATTCGGGACCTCGGAAGACTCCAGCATTACAAGTCTCGCGAACAACAACCCTGAACCCCCACGGAGCTTTCCACTGGACAGCCGCCCGACAAATTTCTCCCAGCATCCACAATGGCTATACTCTCATCTTCCTCCCCCACCCCTCTCCCCTATCAGACAGTGGCATCTCGCTCTGGAGGAAAAAACGGAGGGCGGGGGAGGTAGAATCAGAGAGAAAGCTTGCAGCGAGGTCACTTAAAGAGCAGGAAAGTGAGAAAATGCAAGGACCGAAGGTGGGTTTCTAGGTGGCAACCCAGTACCTAGGAATCCAGGCCCACCTCCTTACACCAAAGTCACGCCCCTCGCCTGTCAAGAAGCGGGCCCAGCGACAACCCTACCACCGGTGCCAAACCCCATGCTCCCAGGCCGGCGGGGAGAAGAATACCCCTGCCCCACACGCAGCAGCCCCTTGCTCATTCTTTCTTCCAGTCCACGTAGCCAACGAGCGACAAGTCCCAGGGGGACGATCAAAAGCGCATGCCATTCCGGACGACTGGTGCAACCCGGCGCTGAAGCCCTCCAACAGGCACGGGGTGCAGACAGAACGTTCCGGACAGCCCAGGGGGATCCAGTCCAGGCCCAGCCTACCCCAGCTGCCCCACAACGGGCGGGGGTGGCACTTACTGCGGAGGTTGTGGATTAGCTCCGAGTGGCTGGCGCCGCCGGATTTCCAGGCCATCGCTAAGCACACCCGGAGCAGGTACAGAATCACCTTCAGGGCGGCGACGGTGCCTAGCAGTTTTCCCAAGAGTGAGACCACCTCCCACACGGTCACCGCCCCGTTCGCG